CATCTTTGCTAATAGTTTCATTCAATTCTGGCAGATTGACAGACATACACACATGCACAATTACATAATCACTTGCCTTTTATGGTGGTGGATATTTAGTTTGTGTTATACAAGCGGAGTATGTGCATATCATTTTTCTTTCAGTTTTTTTTTTTTTTTTTTTTTAAGTTTTCTGCTCACGATGTAAAATAAACACCTGTACATTACACGGTGAAATATGCAAAGTGAAGAGCGATTTTGATTTGAGTTTGCTGACTCGTAACAACAAGGTGGGCCTTCTTCCCTTCAGTCATGAACACAGATGAATCAGTAAGTAAGAGGAGCAACACGAACAAGGTGCTTTCACTCAAACACACACACAAACACACACTTCAGACTTCCTGCAAGCAGCAACACTCTCATCTCTGTTGATCATCGTTAATTATTCAAATTAATTCCTAATCACTGAAAAGGGAAGATAAACACTCATTTCCATAGATATTTGCCTCAACTTTTTTTTTTTTTTTTTCACCGGCCATTAACCAAGTGATGAATTGGGGCATGATGTTTATTTATTTTTTGAAGACTTTTTTTTTATTTCCAATGTTGCTCTGCAAGTGTCAAATGCATTCTAATGGTTGTTTTCTCCTTACCTTTTATTTTCCATTAACATTCATTAAAACATCTGGCTCACATGAATGAGCCATCTGCGAGTGCTCCTCGATCACACAAAACGTGAATGCTAATCCTTAAAAATGTCCGTTCGGCTCACGTTCTCTTTCCATGCTCCAACTGCGAATGCTTTGGGATTGTGACACCTACAGTAAGCCAGCGCTCCATTTCTATGCATCGGAGCGGGTGCTCATTCTAATTATGCACATCAATTCTGAGCCTCCCTTTCTTGGAAGTTGTTTGTTGTGGGCTGTTTTCCAAATTATGAGCCGTCAATTTCCATCTCATTCCTTATTAATGTAATTCCACCATTATTTAATCACACTGCTTACAGACACGTGTTAAAAAGTTCACTGAAAAAGCAATTAAAGATTCAATCTGGAATCTGTTTTGAGTTAAGTTTATGCACCATGATGCAGCTGAGGTGGAGTTTGAAAAGGGAAGAAGTAATTATGATTGCTTATTTGGTTTTCATAGCTCGGTGATATTGCTGCATACGAGAAGTGGCACATTTGGCATTTAAGATGATCAGTTCCTACAGATTCAACAATAACATTTTGTTATTTCATCGCTGAGTTTTACACTGTCTATTGTTCATGTGTATGTCGCCAGTGATCATTACTTGAATATAATAATAATAATATTAAATAAATTATAAATACATAAATCACAATTTGATATATTCACTAATTAGCAGCATCATTTTGTCCCCAGCAACGTAGCATTTGTCAATAAATGTTTGAAAAATGAATTTTGTCATCATCAGAGATTCCACTTCCTCAGGCCGCTGAGGCGAGTTGGACTTGGAAGCTCAGTCCTCACCTCCTTCTACAGGTGTGCAGTGGAGAGCATCCTGTGCTCCAGCATCAATGTGTGGCATGGAGGCTGCACAGCTGCAGAAAGAAAAGCTCTGCAGAGAGTGGTGAATGCTGCACAGAAGACTGTTGGAGTCAGTCTCCCCACAATCACAGACATCTACACCTCCAGATGTAGGAAAAGGGCCATCTGCATCATGAAGGACCCCACTCACCCAGCACACACACTTTTTGCCCCCCACCCCTCAGGAAGGAGGTTGAGGAGCATTAAGTGCAGAACCACTAGACTGAGGAACAGCTTATACCTTGAAGCTGTTAGACTCATGGATCCATAACCAGGATTATCACCTATTACTGTAATGCCACTTTAATTGGTGATATGTGACTTTTTGCTATTTTTGGGTGTAACTGGGATCCTGAGTACAACATTGTGTTCCACCTCATGTACCACATGTGATGTGAATGTCAATAAACTTGACTTGAACTTGTTAAACACAGACACATAGAAACATTAGTGTTTCCAATTTTCATTGTGAAAACTTTACTGGTGCACAGGACAAACGTATGATTGCAAACACTCTTTAGACAAAACCACAGACGAATGTAGAATATGCTGGAGTCTCTTCGCCAGGTCATTGGATGGTGCTGCACAGACATTTTAGTCTTGAGCAGGAAAGCAGTTGCAGACCCATTCAGCATTTGTAGAATGTGAGAATGTGTTCGCTGACCCAAAACTTGGTGTAAAACATGCATTTTCTGTCAGAAACTCAGATAAATTGAAAAATAATTGAGCAACTCAAGCAGCAATCAGTTTTCTGCCATCATTACTATTGTTCATCTACAAGAGCAATAAATCTATTGACCATAGCAGTCTGTGTGCAAGTGTGATTTTTCAGTGTTACCAAAACCCTCCACTTTGCAATAAAACAATTGCTGTTATTATACACACATGGCTGAAACACTACAGAAATGTTACATTTTATATTTTAACTGAGCATTATGTAAGCATGGCCTTGATCAGCACCATTCTGATTGGCTCATCTTAAGAACAAAAGTTCTTTCAATGTCCAATCATTTGTGTAACATTTTCTTTCTGTGACAAAGCCTAAACAACATTTCAGTAGGAGTCAAGTGTTCATTTATTTATCAAGCATTGGAAGCCACCATGTGTTGTGGCTACATTCAGCAAATTAGTTGGATTCTTATAGCTTTTTTTAATCAAAATATGTTCTTTTCTAATTACCAGGTTGCCACATTGTATTCATATTTTATATATCAATTAAACCCGTGCGCCCCTCTGTTTAGTTCTACAGCTCCAGTAATAGTCATTTTTTGTCCCCGTACAAGGAGTTTATGTTTGGAACTGTGTGTGTTTGAATGAGCAGCTGGAGAGGGAAGCAATAGAGGAAAAGGAGGAAAGGGGGTGGGGGGGTTCGAGCCTGGCAGCCTGAGTTAGCAGCAGCCTCACGCAGCGATAATCTATAAGCGTTTCAAAAAACAGATGGGCTGAGTTACCTGCAGTACTGTTGTTGTTACACAACTTTTCAAGCAATAAACCAACACTGTCAGCACCCCCTTTAGCAGGCATTTGATAATGTCGTCCCTGATGTGCTCGCACAATGCAGCTGAGGTTAAACAATCATGTAGACACAGTGGTGAACAACATATTAACCAACATATCGTACATCAGGTAAATGCTCAACTGTGCCTTTTTTTTTTTTTTTCTTCTTTCCCAGACATCCTGTCAGGAACTGTGCACACGATGAAGATAATGTGCAGCAACAGAGTAAGACTATCTAAGGCGGTCCAGAAGGTGAAGAAGCTGTTGCATCTCCACCTGCTGGAACCTCTGCAACTTGTGGCACCAGCAGACGGCACACACCGTTTGTTTCAGCAGGCGCATGGTCCCTGCTGTCCCTTCAGACCAAAAGTCCCAGTATTCATTTTAAATTTTAAAAGGAAATGAACAATTTCAAATTGTCTGCTCAGTCTTATAGAATTATTTGCATTATAAAGCTACTGAGAACAGACTGACTCTGTACTCATATCACTTCCTGTTCAAAATGAATACAAAGTAAAGTAATTGGGAATATATTTTATATGCTTGACCAGATGTTTAAATATAAGAAACCTTAACTCTAACAACAAAGTCCATACTAAATAATCCAGGTATACAATCCAACATTTTTCAGTCAGGTCATCTGGACAGTTTCTTTTTTTTTTTTGTGCTGAAACGTTTTGCCTTCGGTCCGGAAGGCTTCATCAGTCAAGGAAACACACAACAAAACTGATTCTTCCCCCAACAGCTTACTTCAAAGTGGAACAAACCAGTTCTGCTTGTGATAAGATGGTTGTTTCCAACCAGTTTGACAAGACTGTCAACAAGGAAGAGGGCTGGCAATGGAGGAGGGGGCGTACCAAAAAGACCATCTTATCACAAGCAGAACTGGTTTGTTCCACTTTGGAGTAAGCTGTTGTGGGAAGAATCAGTTTTGTTGTGTGTTTCCTTGACTGATGAAGCCTTCCGGACCGAGGGCGAAACGTTTCGGCACAAAAAAAAAAAGAAACTGTCCAGATGACCTGACTGAAAAATGTTGGCTTAACTCTAACAGCAATAAAATGGGTATGGAACTACATGGAAACATCTGATCAGTACTTGTCCAGTGGTGAACAGGCATGGTTTTGTGTGCATGCACATTTGGATTGAGTCCCCTAATCTAAGATGTGCTTCCTGACTGTCAGCTGGACATATATGTGAGGAGATATAGGCCTACACTTTGACCTGGCGAGAAACAGTTTATTCATCAGACATGAAGCTGCTAATATGAAAGACAAGAGTTAAAACAATTGAAGGGTTTACACTGATGATCCCAGCTGTCTCCCAAAAGTAAGAATTTAAATGATTATTGAAATATATCTACTATTTACGTTATCATTGTCTCACAGGTCACTGGGATTTCTCCAGATTTTTTTATTTATTTGTTGATTATATAAACTCTTCCTAAGGGGTATTGTTTTATACAGTAATTAACCAATAGTGTAGACAAATTACTTTGCTGACTGGTAAAGTACTACCATCTTTACATCTCAGTGATTTAGTTTCTGTAAAATGTTAAACCCAGTCCTCTTACTGGCATGTTGCCAACTATATTTACAAAAAGCACCTCCAGCTGTTTCCTATTGGTCTTACATTCTGTTAAAACTTTTTGTTTCCCCAGCCCCAACTTTTTAAAGATGTGTTGCTACCACCAAATTCAAACTGACCTTTATTTCCTATAAAATGATACAGCTGATCAATGCTATATGTTTACGTGCATGTATATATGCACTAATATGCTATGGGTTCATGAGATTTGTAAATCATTGGATTCTGTTTTTATTTACACAAGTTTGCAAACTAACAGAGCGTGTACAGCTTTTCCTTTCATACAGGAAAATGCCAACTTGGACAACAACAGGAACATTCATTTGGGTCCTCGTGTTGAAATTAAGCCTCAAGTTCATCTGAATCAACAAGCAGACACCTGCACTTACCAGAGTTTGGGTCGACAGAAAAGTATGGTTGTCCCTCCAATATGCTGTAGACTAGTTTTGCACTGTTCCCGTACACTGGATCATCAGCATCTGTGGCTGTTACCCTGGTAACTGGGGTTCCTGTGGTGCAGAAGAACAGAGTTATGAACTTGCAGCTCCATAGGCAATCATGTCTGCATAGCTATAAACTGAAAGGTGGAAGTGCTGAGCCAATCAGGATGAAACTATTCAACCCTACGTGGGGCTGATTGGTTCAAAAATCTGCTCCCATTTGTCCCATTCTGTTCCAAGAAAAAAGCTAAACCTTGTGTGTGGGGTGGGGGTGTGGTGGTATGATCTAAGGATAACACCTAAAGTTGACCAAATGATCTTCGTACTTGCTTCCACATGATCAACATATACCAGGCCTAGTAACTAATTGAAAAATAGCCCTGTAGTATCAGACTTACATAAAAAATTAATTGGTCTTTAATTCTTTAATGCCTTAAAGTAGGCTACATGGAATAGATGGAACTTTAGGCTCCACAGTCCAAAAGCAAACGCTTTATTAAAGATTAAAGGCCTTGCATTTTTTGAAGGAATACATATCATTTCCTGCCTCTCATGACCGTTTTATACTCAGTTCCTGTATTGGTGAAAAGGAACAGAGCTCTAGTCATATTCTTGGCAAAAATTGCAAATTATGTCATGATTGACAGATTCCCCTGATTTGTTAATGATTGGAGTATGTGTTGAGGATGACTCTCAGCTACTACCACAACCATTTTCAATATAAAATCTGTAAACAATTTACCAAGTTGTGCCATATATGTGTTCATAAATTTACTTAGACGTGGCAGTCATATTAAACATGGTTGAGTCCAAAAGGTAATCATTTGTAGATGCATGTCCAATGATCTCTTTCTGTAAGTTTATTTAAAATTAATGAATTGGTTCAGGAAATATTTTGCTTACACTACAGACAAAATAAAACATATGAACAGACACAGGCAAATATATATATATATATATATATATATACAGTATATATTGCCTTTTGCAATGAAAGACAATGCAACATGAAATGTTGTAAGCAAATATCTTGTGTGCATCTGGTGAGGTGTTAAAATATTTAAATACATTTTAAATGTACTCGTCTATGGGAAGTAATGTGTAACACTTAGCCTGAATCTACTAGAGAAAATTTTGAGATTTTCTGCTTGATTCTTTAAACTCTATTAATACATCAATAGACTGATCTAAAATCTAGCTACTGCATGTTAGAAATTGTTCAATCAAAATCAAAGTACTCTGTATGATCACACCTACATAAACAAAACAAAAAAATAAATAAATGGAAACACATTTTTAAGTGCCTATTAAAAAGAAAATCAAATCTTTCCACGAAAGCTGCATATCTCATCCGTTCCCTTTACACCAACAGTCATCAGCGCTAGAAATAAGGTTCATTATCAAAAAACAGCTTCATCATATTTGCAGAAAATTTATGCAAGGACCTTCATCAATATTCCATTTCTACCAAGTGCTCAAGGCAAATCAGAAAAGAGATTAGTGCCAATTCAATCCACCATTCAGAGCTGCATTATCGGGTATCTGGAGGAGGAAAAAAAGCACTTAGAATCTGAATATAAATATATTAATAACACAATTGAACCCATTCAATTTTAATTCAGGGTGACCTAGCTCCTCAGCAGTCAGCGTGAGGCAGGAAAAAAAAAAAGGAAGAAGCTGACATGCCGACAGTGAGGAGCACGCTGACAGGAATGCTGCAGATGGTTGGGTAATTGTTTCTGTGAAAGATGCTCTGACAACAAGGGAGATGTCCCTCATGCAGACGGCACAGGTCCTGCCATAGGCAACTAAATGTGTCCACTGCAGATGAAGTGACTTGTAAAGGCCTGCTCCAAGTGTGAGTTCTGGTTCCAGTGTATTCAATGGGTATAAGTATGATATGTACAAAGTAAAAAAAAAGACATCATTTGATGTGACAGTCTTGGCTAAGGTTTTATTGCGTAGCCTGCAAATATGACATATGTTCTCTGTGCATGCTGAAAAATTCAAAAGTAGTTCAAATTAAATGTTTGAATGTATTAATATCACTTGCTGCCTTTCATGCCAAACTTTTAAACTAAGATCATGAAAAACGAAGTTGTAGCCATTTTGGTGAAACCTTAAAAATAACATTATGTGCAAACCTATAGGGTATAACTCAGAGTATGAGTTATTAATCACTCTCAGCTACCACATCAAATTTTTAGCTCAATATCTGTAGGATATTGAGGGAAAATGGCTGCATTTTGTTTTCTACAAAGTTGATAAGCTGTGGTGGCTCCCTTCTTTAATTGACACCACAGTGAACTTATTCATGCAAAGACTTGGCAAATATTTTTACGCCGGACGCCGTTCCACAGACCACAGACCAGCGAGCTACCACAGCCCTCTGTGTGGAGCAGAGAGCTGCTTAGATGGTGGCATCTAAATGGATAGAAACCCAAAGTGTATTCCATTCATCCAAAGATTAATTTCTGAAAACTTCAGTAAAATTGGCCCAGTGGACATTTTGCTAACAGACAAACAGGTTTAACACACACAAAAGTTATTGTTAAATGTTACACAAAAATCTTGTGCGATGAGTGGCATATGGGTTATATGTTAGACTCTGATCTAATACCACACATTTTAACACCATTAATGAAAAACTAACTGTGTTTTAGTTATTTTTGGATTTTCTAAGCCTTTTTGAATTGAGTTGGCTTCAGTGGTTATTCAGTTGTACAAGTCTATCCAGTGATTATTTCCTGAAAGTTTAATTCCGGTTGACCTGGTGGTTAATGTGACATTTTGTTCAAAGTTTACTCCAAGAAGTTAATGGCAAGATTTTAAACGAGGATTCTCCACCATCTGTTAGCATTTAGATCAGTTTCAGCTACTGTCACAGCCAAGTTAAAGTTATTATATGTAAAACTGACATTGTAGTTGCTGGGGTTTTTTTTTTGTTTCTTTGTTTGTTTGTTTTAAGGTCAGAGGCTGGGGTAGTCATCTTGATCTTGAAGATGAGAGTCTGCATTTGAGTTCAATTCAAAGCAGTCTGCTCCACTGTTAAATAGTGGTAACTTATTATTTATACATATGAATTCTTCTGTTCAGTGTCCTGAGATGAGTTCTGTTGTGACTTGGCAGTATATAAATAAACTGAATTGATTGTCCACATCCAAAAGTTAATTTCTGCAAGTTTCATTAAATGTAGCCCAGTAGCTCATGAGATACTGTGGTAACAGACAGACATACAAACAAAAGCACACACTCACACAACACAGACGTGGGGAAAAAAACAAACAAACAAAAAAAAAAAACATTATCATTGGCATTTTTTAAATTGAACTGAAACAATTCCAGCACTGCTTTTCACAATCGCAAAACAATTAATGTCCCCATGTGAGCGACACAAAGAATGGTTTTAACATCCACGTTACACTTGTTTCCTTTTGCACTTACCTACCGTATATGTTCGGCATCCTGTGCCGTCAGCTACATATGTCAAGCATTGATTAATAGTCACTGCCATGTCTGCGGTGTTGTACCAGCAAAACAGAGCAAAAGCCACCTTTGCACTCTAACTGGAGTAGCAGTTTCACTGTTGCAACCCAATTATTTCACAGTGAGGGAGCCTCAAGTGGTCCTCTGAGACAGAGGTGTTCTAGTAATTCATAGTCTTATGATGACCCATGCTGTTGTGTTGCCAGAGCTTACCGTGTAAATTCCCTACTACTTGTTATATGCCATGCCTTTTGCAGTGTTTAGATCAGAGCAGATCAATGAGCTGTTTCTTTTTCCCCCCTCTCCGTTTTTGCTTGCTCTACCGTAGCACTAGCAAAAACATATTCCAGCATGTCAGCAGCTGAGTTTTTCTTCTTGATGCCCCAGAACTACATCCAAGATCTTTTCCTCTCATTTATGGAAAGTAAACAATGAGCCCTCCGGTTTGCACATTAAAATAACAGCATGTGTTTCCAAATGTCTTGTCATTTTTTTAAAATTCAAACATCTCAAGAGCCCAAATGAGCTTCTCCATGTCTGCTATTTACAGTTCCGCCCTAACACCTGACATAATATGTTGATTTTATTCTCACCCACGAATGTGTTAGTTTAGCAGGTAAAATATTTCATCAATTGGTTGACAGATTGCAAGGAAATGTAATTATAGGAAGCATATTCTGCAGATGTGTGTGCTTTTACCCAAATTGCTGTTTTCCCAGGAAGAAAATTACATTCAGTGTGTCAAAGGTGTTTGCCAATTGTCAAATGAAAAAAATGAAAGACAGCAAAGGAAATTGCACCGCCCCATTTTCAGAGATACTGAGCCTTATCTTCTTTAAAGTTAAATTACTGCTTCTACAGAGAGAGAAGGCAGCCATCTACACATCCCTAATTATGAAAAGTACCTTAGCACTTCTACAGTGTGTCTGAATATTGCAAAATAGTTTTATAAATTCAGTTACACTATGAATCGGAGTGTAGAAGTTGGGGTATGGGAGAAAAAAAAAATCTACATAAAAACAGTAGAATCGCTGAAGCATGAAATAACTCCCTCCTTCTCTCCCTCCCATAGGGGTAAAATACTCCTCCACACCCCTGGTATAAAAAGAAGGATTAGTAAAGCCAGTGTTGTGGTCCTATTTCAAATCGGTGCAGATTAGCCTGTCCTTCCCCTTGATAATGTGCAGAAATTTCAGGGACACTGCAGAGACAGATGCAGCTATCGACCAAGCACCGGACACACAATCTGGGCTGTAGGAGCAATATTGTCTCTGACTTATATTTGAAGCCTCCAGAGCTGTGTGATTACAATAATAGCAACACAACACCTACAATGTACATTTCCAGGACAAAAAAAAAAAAAAAGCTGAATGCTTTACAAAAGCAGTACAGGAAGGAGTTAGTCATGTACAGTTAGTTGCAAAAGTATTCATCCTCCATCACGTTGTTTATTTTACGTAAAACAACAAAAAAAAAAAACTGTTTTCAATTTGATCATAAGTAAGGGGGACTGCGTGTGTATGGGGCAGCAGTTGGGGTGTGGTGGTGCAGAAGTTAGAGAAGGACATCAAAGTGTGGGTGGA